AGTAAACTTATGATTCCGGTGATCGCAATGCCTTCTACTTCTCTATCTACACGCGTACCTGGGATGCGAACATTTGCCTCAATTCGTGATTGAATGAGTGTTTACGTAAACACCGTATTTGCCTCCCAAGAGATTGGTGTAATGCTCTTTTTGAAAAGTTAATTTACGCACCATAGATTCCATAAAGCATTGATAAACTAAATGTGGTTACGCATTTCTGAAAACGTATCCGTAGTCTTGTGATTTTTTTCCTCTAGGTGAGCTGTTGGCTGAGAAGTTTGTGATATTTTGTTTTGGCAAAACCATTTGGAACGTTGTTAGTCCATAATGCTATGAAATCATAGATATTGCCATTGCTGAAAACTTACTCGCTTTTAGTGTCAGCACTGATTATTGTATTGTGCTCTTTAGTCTCTATTCCTTTATAACGTTCCGATGAAATAAAAGGCCACATACTAAACTTCATCTACATATTTGTTTTTCTATTATTGCGGCCTTCAATGACCTGAAAAACCATGGCGTTTGGATAGTTCACGTATTCCAACTTAAATGTCACCTTCCTCTCTTTAAGTCAATTATTAACTCACATACGGTAACAGAATAATCACAAGTGCGAATATACTTTCCGTGCCAGCTTATACGTTAGGTAGAACTTTTTGGCTAACTGTGTAACATATCTACTGGATCATGTGGACATATGGAAAAGTATTGACCGTTAAGATCTTGCTACATTCAAACTTTTAGAGTTTGACTTCATCGTTTATGATACTCGTGCAGAAAAAATTACAGGGCAATGAAAATTGCAGCAACTTTGGCTTAACTGACAGAATTTGCCAGTTAAGTATGCAATAAACCCTTATTTCTTGTTTTTGGAACTCACCTGCTGAGTGGTTTTCGAAAACGCTGAACGTCACTTTCGAGGTAACTGTAGGTGGATTATCATTCACATCAGTGACAACCACGGTGATGTCCGCCGTGCCAGTTTGAGCAGGTGTCCCCTTGTCCGATGCAATAACTGACAAGCTGAGTTGGGGCTGATTTTCACGATCGAGAGCACGCTGCAACTGCACCGTTCCTGAGTCTGGGTTAATGTTGAAAAAGTCGGCATGGGCTCCCACCAGCTTGTACTCAAGAGCAGCATTTTTGTCTAGAAAAAAAAAGTGTTCATCAGATGATGTAATTAAAAAGAATAATCGACAATTGCATGTTTTCATAAAGTGGCGGAGTTTGGGGGGGGGAAGGGGCAACAATGCTGTCTGGCTCCCTTGTTCAATGCCGGCTGCCCCAATGCTATGCGACTTATCAGGCAGATGTTTCCGATTAGCTCATCTGAAGACTCTTCACCGGCTTCTAAGCGCACGTAAACACGCGAACCTTAGGGCCACTTGGACACGTCACCTCTCGGAAAAGGTATTATGGACCTCTTAACAGGACACCCCCTCGGGCAATGCAACATATCAATCGTACAACACGTGAACTTGCTCCACAATCACGTGAAAACAAATGCAAATGCGGTCTCACACTCTCCCACGCAAGAATGGATGCAGTCAACACTAGTGCTGATTTCGCCAGGGGCTACTGCTGCCCGAGAACGCAAATCAGGGTTCTGTACTTAATAAATCCCACATTCGGCGGACATTTATCCTCTCTAACAACCTGGGATTTCTGCGAACATTTCCATTTCCCTTACGATTGAAAATTCGTATTGGCAAACAGCTGTTTTCGGTAATTCATCATCCGGCCTTTACAGTGACATGGAAAATAAGCGAGTAAAACGGGCAGTTATGTACAGTTCTTATAGAGATTTTGAGGT